GTACAATTACCTTGTCAAACTCGCCAGGAAAAGTTATTATCACAATAAACTTTTGAACCATAAATCAGATTTACGAGCAACATTGTCTATTATTAGATCTGTTATTGGTAGTAAACAAAAGGATAGGATACCTTCAACTATGAAAAATGGTAGTGGAACTTACAGTAATCCACATTCAATTGCTAATAAATTTAACGATTTCTTTATAAATGTTGGGACCTCTCTTTCAAATAATTTTACAGACATATCAGACAATAATCATAGGGATTATTTGTTGGGCTCGTTTAATGAGTCAATATTCCTCACCTCAACTTCCCCTTCTGAAATTATAACTATCACTAATTCGTTGAAAAATAGTTACAGTGAAGGGGTAGACGGTATTAGAACGCCTATTATTAAAACGAGTATTCACATACCTGCAGTACCATTGTGTTACATATTCAACTCTTTAATGGCCAATGGTAGTGTACCCAACCAGCTAAAAATTGCTAAGGTTTTGCCTATTTACAAAAGCAATGATTGTCATAATTTTTCCAACTTTAGACCGATTTCTATTCTTCCTTGTTTCTTAAAAATACTTGAAAAGGTGATGTATAAGAGATTCATGGATTTCCTATATAAGTTTCAAATTATAAACCACCACCAATATGGCTTTAGAAAAAATCATTCTACGTTCATGGCTATACTCGAACTGGTAAACGGAATATATTATGGTTTTGAAAATAATAAGCTAACTGTTGGCGTGTTTCTAGATCTTAAAAAGGCTTTTGATACTGTCAACCATGACATCCTAATTGACAAAATGTCTTTTTATGGTTTTCGTGGTAATGCTTTTTCATGGATTAAAAGTTACCTTAGTCAAAGATCTCAATATGTTGAAATTAACAATGTTCAATCTTCACCTAAAATTATTAAATGCGGAGTTCCCCAAGGTTCGGTTCTTGGACCATTACTTTTTCTTGTGTTTATAAATGATATATTTAATACATCCAACTGCTTATCTTTTATACTATTCGCAGATGACACAAATATATTTTATAGTGACAATAACATAACGTCCCTTATTAACACACTCAACTATGAACTTGTTAAAGTTGCTTCTTGGCTTAGGGCAAATAAACTTACATTGCATCCAGATAAAACCAAGTTTATACTCTTTCATCCCAGCAGGAAAAAACATCGACCCACAGGATGAGGTAAAAATCAATGGACATCTAATAGAAAGGGTTAGCCAAACCATATTTCTGGGAATTACTATCCAGGAAAATTTGTCCTGGATCCCACATATACAATTAATCACTACAAAAATTTCCAAAAACATTGGAATAATTGCAAAATCTCGTCATTCTCTTGATAGATCAACACTCTCAGTACTATACAATTCTTTAATCTTGCCTTATTTACAGTACTGCACTATTATCTGGGGATCATCTTACACAACACATCTTCATCCTTTACTTTGATGTCAAAAAAAAATCATGAGAATTATTACACATTCTCCCCCTCTTACTCCTTCCAAACCACTCTTTAAGGAATTAAATATCCTCACTGTCTTTCAGATTTATGAATTTCAACTTTCGTGTTTTATTTTTAGACACGTTAACAATCTCCTTCCTTCACCCATTTCTTGCTTATTTGAGTTCAATTTTAACATCCATGATCATTTTACAAGGCATAGACAGGATTTGCATATCATTTCCCATAAATATTCTTTTTCCATTCGTGCGCAAGGCCCGAAAAATTGGAATTCTATCCCTCTTTTAATTTGGCAATCATTGACAACTCAAAAATTTAGACGTATTCTAAAGAAATACTATTTAACTTTTCAGAATGGTTGACATGTGCATGTGGAATAGCTCTGGGATAAAAAGAAGGACTGAAATTTGGCTGTATATATGCTGCATATACTGCTTTATATAAAGCATGAATTATCTATACTAATTTAAATGCTTTTTCCGGTTGGGTTTTTTTTCTCTTTTTTTATTATATACTCAGTTGGAATAATTCATACTTAATTCTCTGTACTGACCACGAGCTATACTCTTAAATAGTTTTGCCAAATAAGCCTATGGCTTCGGCTTTACCAATATAGTGTAACAATTTGTGTGAAAATAAAATATTATTATTATTAAAAAATTAATTTGATTATGCCTTATACTACAGTGATATCTCATAAGCAGGGGTGTGAAATTATTGCTGTATGTACTATGTGCTACTTACCGCAACAATCTTGCAAGAAATCTCTCCAAAATACTACAGCTCTCTCTTGAGTTGGACGTATATTTGTACCGTCTTCCGCTAAGTGGACTTCAAAAATAAGGTCGACCATGATCGCATCTAACTTGGTATCGTTCTTACATAACACTTCTAGGAACTGTTCAGGATATTGTCTTATTGCGTCAAGTACACCCATCACCTTAAATCCATCAATTAGCTCTTCTAGTAGATACCTGGTGGAATCCACTAACACGTAATTTAAAATGGCTTTGACAAATTTAGATTTTTCGTCGAAACATGACGCCTGGAGGGAATGACCTTGAGCTTGTAATATGCATTGCAGATACTCTTCTTTCAGATACCGATTCAATTCTTCAAGGGTGTTTGCAAATTTAACCTAATAAAGAAGTGCATGTTTATTATTAATATGAAAAACCTTTAAACTTCGCACGTCCCAAAAGCAATCCTTTAATCAGCAATTTCACAATCTTCGAAAGGTAATAATTCGTAGGTTATTCATGTAAACGTCTTCAAACTTTGTATACTTACTCATTTTGAGGTGGTCTTTTTAGTGATTTGGTTCATTTCTTTATTAGGGGACTTTTTAACACTTGTCCCCAGTCCACTCATCAACTTCGGAATGGCTAATTGGTGGGTTTCATTAAGCGTTTTAGATAGTGAATTGAGTGGGGGTCAACCTCAAATGTATTGGCGCTTATGCTGAACGGGAGTGAGCAAATGACACGAAATCAGTGCACAGATTTGCTACGAAGCACAACGTCAACACATACAGTAAAGAATGAACTCACTCCGAGGACTGTGTCTCGATTTAAAGTTGACCCCCACTGAAATCTATGACGTCATATGAAACCCAAGAATTGATAAATTGGTCGGAGGGCCAAATACTGTAGTTATATTTATGACTGTCAAACTTCGGTTATTCCCAATCTCTATTTGATAATAGGATCACCCAAGATTTTTTTATACATCATTAGATATTTTAGTTTCCAAGCTACAGAGTAATCATACGATAGGAAAACTCCAATTATATATAAAGAAAAAGTAGTCAGTACCTTATTAATCTTTTCTAGCACTTCATTGTCATGAATGTCGTTTATTTCAGCGTCTTTCGTCCCAATTCCAAATGCAATGGCATCAAAAAGCGTCTTGCTAAAAAAATTTCCCCCTGGGCCTCCGTGCACCAACGACCAGCAGATGATCGTACCAACAAGCTTGTAATGACCTTTGGCACGTGCTGCAATAGCATAAATAGAAAACATTATATTACTAATTTTGAGTATTTTCTTTGTTCTCTTTTCAGTCCAGTCTTTTTCGTAATTTCTCATACCTGTCGCATTTGGAAAAAGGACTCTCTGATCCAGCTTGCCGTAAAATAGCCCAGCATGCTCATTAGCGGCTTTGATGAGCAGTCAGAGAAACTCTCTTCGAGGTCCACCAGCGTCGATCGCTCCCTCGCTGTTACCATCATCATCCGCAAATTTAACAGAGATAATAGCCTTCAGGTCGAACTTTTTTCTTAACAGGTGTCGACTGGCATCTTCCCAAACGTGCTTCCTTCGGACATTAATTAATGACCGCCTGTGACTGTGTTCGTCAACATTATCATTTCTTAACTTCATAAGAATCGCTTGTAACGTAAAGATAAAGATAAAGATAAAGGACATAATCCCCGAGCCGGCGGCGCGAAGCGCCGTGCGAGGGTACTAATTCCGCCCGGCTATTTACACCCGGGTGTTTGAAAACATAGCGAAGTGCAAAGTTGTCCTCCATTATGTGATGGACGGTCTTCGACGTTATTGCGCATGCGCGAATACAAACGAGCTCGTGATTGGCTAGATTTTGTTTTTTATGTCACGTCAAAAGTTTAACTGTCATTTTGCATTTTTCAAAGTTTTATCTGGTATTTATACTGTATATACTTTAAAAGTTATATAAATACAACTATTTCCTAAACAAATATCCACATATATTCATATAAAACAACAACCTTTTAAAAAGAAAATGTCCAGTTGTGAAAATAAAAAGCCGCAGGATAAAAGTGAAGAAGATAAACACGCAGAAAAGCTAGCGAGATGAAGAGAAAACAGACGCAAAGTACTGCAACAAGAAACTCCAGAGGAAAAGCAGTGTCGGTTGGCAAAGCGTAGGGCTGCTCACAAGCGAAGAAGTGAAGCATATACAGGTAAGGATATTGAGAAGCAAAGGGAAAAAAATAGGGCTTACAACAGAAAAAACAGGCAGCAAGAAAGTAGCGAAAAACGAGAGGAAAGACTTGAAAGTATGAGGCAACGAGCAAGAAGGCTTGCTGAAAGTACGGACAGAGAAGAACAACTACAGTCAGAAAATTCTGAGGTAAGTCGTGTCAATGACAATGTAGTGGCTGATGATGAAGTTGCAGATAATTATCGTATAAATGAATACATCCATGGAGAAAACGAGCAGATTGAATCTTCGTGTGAGGCTATGGACAAGGCATCTGTATCTGTTCCTATTCATGAAGCAGACGAGGAAGGTATGTCTGTACATCAAGCAGAGGGGGTGAGTAGAAATGAATATTTGCATGAGGGTGGTTGGCAAAATATTGACAAGCCTCTGCATGAGCTAGAGTTTGTACAAAATGAAATGCATAGTTTTCATTTAGATCAAGAACATTTAGAGCATCGACAATGTTCAGTTTGTAAAGAAGCTTGGCCGACAAGGCAGAACTTAGCATCAGAAGTATATATTTGTTACCGGTGTAAAAGAGACAAGAGATCACCCAAGAAATTTAGTGCCGAGAATGACATGGACCCAGGAATAGTTCCTGAACAATTGAGAGGTTTGACACAGGTAGAAGAAATGTTAATTTCAAGGGTTTGTCCCATTATGAGAGTGTATAGAAAACATGGGGGTCAGAGGGGGTATAAAGGGCATGTACTTAACTTACCTCAAGATATTCAAAGTTTCTTGAATAGGTTGCCTTCTCGTGTGGCAGACTTGCCTGTTTTGATTGTGCGAAGACATGGTGCAGAAGACACACATCTAGATTTTACTGTGCGTCGACACAAAGTTTTTGAGGCTGTGTTATGGTTAAAGACAAACAATCCATTCTTCAAAAATATAGAAATTGATCGAGATGTCATTCAAAGTTTACCAGAAAATGGCATTCCTGATGAGCTAAGGTATGTAATTGATGAAAATGAGCATTCAGTTCATGTTGAAAATGAGGGGCCTCCCCAAGACCCAGTAATGAGTGCTAATGCAAGTGTGGAAGAGTTAGTTTTAGGAAGTGGCAGTACATCATTTATTCCTATGCGTCAAAGACAGAGAAAAGAAGGTGCGGCTATCCAAGATGCAGTAAATGAGGTTGATCCATTAGACTGGCCATCTACTGAAGGTAATCGTGTTAATGAATTTAAAACAGATGGTTTAGCTACTATGGCCTTCCCTACATTGTTTCCTTATGGGAAGGGTGACCCAACAAATAGGGCAAGACAACATGGTATAACGTTAACCGAAGCTTTCAAACATTTAATGAAGTTTGCAGAGAAGCTTGCTGATGGTAAGTTTGAATGGAGGTTTGCTTCTCACCCACGGTTTCCTTATTGGGCGTTAAACATGAAACAACGGCATCAGCTGTTGTCACAAGCGAATGTTTACTTGCGTCAACATCCTGCTGATGCAAACATGACAATGGAAGAACTGAAGCAGATGGTCAATTCCATGAGTGCAAACCAAATGGTGAATAGGTTGCAACGCTATGTGTCCAAAGTACAAGGTACAAATCAGTATTGGTATCAGCGGTTGCAGGAATTGCTGGCCCTGATTGAACAAAAAGGCTGCCCTACGTTTTTCTTTACCTTTAGTGCAGCTGACATGCATTGGTCAGACTTACAGAGGCTGTTGCAGAATGATGAAGGTGCAAGCAGATCTGAGCGAGCACAAGCTGTAATCGACAATCCCCATCTGACTGATTGGTTCTTTATGCAGCGGCTGCAGGAGTTTGTCAGACATTGGCTTAATGGCGTCTTGGATGCTGAGTGGCACTGGTATCGTTTTGAGTACCAAGCTAGGGGAAGTATTCATTGCCACGGATGTGCAAAGTTAAAAAATGACCCTGATATTAGAGAATTACGTAATAAGGCATGTGTTGCTTTCCTAGAGAGTGAGACAACAAGGTACGAAATGTCACCTGATGATTTTGAATTCCTTTGCGGGGATGTGATAAGACAGGGAGAAGATGCTGAGAAGTTGTTAATACAGTAAGAAAAAATATTTTCCATATTAATGTTTCCAATGCGTACTGTACGTAGATCAAGCTAACTGTGCAGAATCTGTTGTGGGATAATTGTTTCAATAATAAAATTTTATCCTGCAACAGGCCTTCAAATGCATGTACCGGGCACAATACCGGATCATAATTATTGCAGTAGTTACACAATACCGGACTCGCTTCTCATAGTCATAACATTGAATTTTGCATTTTTAGAGATGTCTTACTGTACCTCGTACTCAATATATTGCAATAGCATTTTAAAATACCATTAAAACTATACCTTGGCATGCTCCCAAATGTTGATATCAACTAAAAGTGTGCAGGTCAAATGTTCATGTCAACTACTGTAAAAAGCGAATTTTGTATTATGCATGTATTAACCACTGCTGCCTATTTTGGATATTTAATAATATGACTACTACTGTAAATTAAAAGGTAGGATAAACTACTGTACACAACTTTTGCCTAAAATTGTCGCATACAACCTGCTTATATGCATGTAACAACTTGAGTGTACTGGGTGAACCAGCACACAACTATGCCTATGACAACGTAAGTGAGTAAATGCAAGTTTAATACAGTGTCAACTTGTGTCCTTGATATTTTACACAGTAAAACTCAAGTTGTACAAGCAGGTTGCATAAGGCAAAAGTTGTGTAGTGTAAATCTGCCTTAACACACAAAACACTCACCAAATATCCAGCTAATAATATATGCAGATAGCCAATCTCCACAATTTTGAAAGGTCTTTCGCCCATCTTTTTTATTATTATGCATATTTTAATAATTTTATTATATTATAATACGGTAGTATTACCTTTGCTACATTAAAATTGAAAAAGTAACAATATTTTACATGTAAACAAAAATTCCTTATAAAATTCCTTAAAAGTTTTCAATATTCCTCAAAGGAATTTTCAATAATTTCTGAAGATTTCATTGGAATGTAAGAAATTACATAAATAGAAAGTGGAAATTTAACTGTGGCACAAATCTGTGACTGTGGTCATACAGGTTTCACAGGAAAATGTTTCACTCAGTCAAATTATGGTGTGATTAAAACTGTTTTACGACTAATTCGGTAATATTTGGCTAATAGAAAAAGCGCACATGTTTAATAATAAGTTATGATTATTTTAAAGGTATGTTGACTGGCTGGTGACAACTTTTAATGAGGAATTGCCAGATGAAAACTGGAGGATACCAGACCCTCATCCATCTGCTGTTAGCGCTACAACATTGGATAATCGTGACAATGATTATCACAGGTTAGTTAATACTATATAAAGACACACTAGATGCAGTCCAGCGTATTGCTTAAAACAGAAAAGAGTGGACCTGCTTGCAGAATGCAGATTTGGTTTTCAAAAACCATTGCAAGAAGAAACAGAACTGAGCCTTGAGCTGGTGGTAGGTAAGAATACGAAGTCTGTTGAGTCTGAGTTACATACCAAACGAAATGATCAAAGATTAAATTCACATAACAGGGTGATGCTCGAAAACTGGCGGGCAAATGTGGATTTGCAAGTGATTGTAGATGAGAAGGCTTGTGCAAGATACATGGCCAAGTATGCTGCGAAAGGAGAACCCCGATCGAAATCGGCGTCAGAAATACTAAAATTGTCTGTGTCTTCATTACAGAATGATGATCAAGTCTCTTCGGCCTTCAAGAAAGCAATGATCCAAGTTGCTGGGGATAGAGATATGGCAGCACAAGAAACTGCACATATGTTACTTAGTCTACCACTGGTTGGCTGCACATTTAGTTTTGTTACTATTTCTTTAGATAACAGCAGGAAGGTTAATATTGATGCAGAAAATGAAGGCGATGAGGTACTTCAAAAATCTGCGCTACAACAATATGCAGAACGTACAAAATTGAAGAGTAGGTATACAGGCTTGTCTCAGCTAAATCTGATGCAATATGTGTCACAGTACACGAAAGTCCGAGGTGAGTTGACAAAACGAGCGAATCCGTCATTGTCAGGACATTTCCAAAGATTTCCGCCAATCCTGCTGCTCCTGATTTTGGAAAATACTGCAAATATCAACTAATAAAGTTTAAACCATGGGAGGGTCAACCGTCAAATGCTTGAAACAACTAGGATGAAAGTGATCAAATGTTTATTAATGCATATGAATTTTTTCTTATGACAGATGAATTTGCAGAAGAAAATGTGTTTAGGTATTCCGATGAAACAGACAGAGTTCATGATGCGCAATGTGGTCAAACCTTTGAAAACGATTGAAGTGACAATCAAGATGATGACGACGAAAGTGAAGTTGACCCTGATGATGAGGAGGAAGTCGATGATTGGATGTTATTATGCAGAATTAACCAAGATTATGGTGAAGCAGGTAATCGGATGTCAGACAATGAAGCAGTGGACTGGTTTGAAATGGTAAGAGCTGTGCCTAGAGATATATTAAAGGAATCTCCAGGATGGATCTATAGTCAGAGAAAGGAGGCTGGAGAACATGGTCAGCATTTTCGAGAAGATGATCAACAATGTGTAATTGATCCGGAGACCTTGAATGAAAAACAACGCCTTGCTTATGACATCATCACATCTCAGAATGGTGATAATGCCGAGCCTGCTTATATGATTGTGTGTGGAACAGCTGGCACATGTAAGACATACTTAATAAGTGCAACAAAACAAGTATTAGCCATTCAGTGTGTTGTTACAGCAACTACTGGGATTGCAGCCTTTAGTATTAATGGTCAAACATTACATTCTGCTGCTCAACTTCCTATCCGTGAATATAGGGATTTGCAGAGTGATTCACTACAGCGGTTACAGCTGAGGCTGGAAGGTAAAAGATTTCTGATTATTGATGAAATGTCAATGATTGGACATAAAATGCTATCATGGCTTGACAATAGATTACGTGCTGGTACTGGAAAGGAAGATATCCCTTTTGGTGGTATGTCAGTAATTCTAATGGGGGATTTTGGTCAATTACCACCTGTTGGTGATAAGCCAATGTATGTTTCAGGTAATGGAACAGTAGTAAGTGACCATTGACATAGTATGTATCTGATGTTTGAGTCTGTCATTATTTTAGATCAAGTTATGCGTCAGGCTAGTGAGGACCCCGAGGCAGTTGCTTTTAGAGCCTTGCTGATGAGAATGCGAAATGGAGAAGTGACAGGGGAGGACTGGAAACTATTGTTGGAGCATTCAACAACAAGTGTACCAATGGATCAATTTACTGATGCCATCCGATTGTACTTTGACAAGAAAAGTGTTGCTGAATACAATTACGAGAAGCTATTGCAGCTTGGACAACCTGTTGCTAAAATTCAGTCAAAGCATTCTGGTCATGGTGCCAGTGCGGCAACGTCGGACGAAGCTGGTGGATTGGATGCTGTTCTGTTTTTATCCACAAAAGCAGAAGTAATGCTCACTTGCAACCTGTAAGCTGAAGTTGGTCTCTGCAATGGATCATTTGGCACTATTGAGCAGATTTGGTTTGCAGAGAATATGAGTCCACCAAACCTGCCAATAGCAGTATTGATACACTTCCATAGTTATACTGGTCCTGCATTCCTAGATGCATGTTCTAAATGTATACCTGTGCCACCCAAAGTGTTTGAATGGGTGGCTGATGGAAAGTATCTGTCAAGGCAACAAGTGCCCTTGCGGTTGAGGTATGCAATGACTATTCATAAGTCACAAGGACAGACACTAACAAAAGCTGTTGTTGATTTAGGTAAAGGAGGAGGAGTTGCTGGATGCACATTTGTAGCTACATCACGGGTGAGATCGATTCATGATATTGTATTTGAACCTATGACATTTGATCGCCTGAAAGCAATTGGTAGGAGTAAAAATATGCAAAAACGACTCGAAGCTGAACAGCGAATTAAAGTGCTTGCAGAGAAAACTGTCCAAACATATAATAGGTCATGAGTTGTCATAAGTTGAAGAGTTGTGGTGTTCAAGCACCAGCATAGTATACTGGGCACATATACTGTGCTTTCGAGGTTATTTCTCCTGTTACTAGGCACAAATTTAAAGGTGTAGTCTATGCCTCTATTATTGTGTTTTTGAGGAAGGCATTCAGGGAGTTTGTCATTGCCTGTTACCTAGACATAATATTATATATTATGTTTTTGAGGTTGGCTGCATGTTGACATACCTGTGCTTAATATTAAATAATATTATTACGTATATATACTATAAATTTAAAACTTTGTCTTTGTATTCTACATAATATTTTATATCTTTAGAAATTAAACCAAATTCATATAAAGGTAAGGTTTTTCTCCTGTTTTGAGTAACTATTCTATTGATAAAACAGTTCTCTTCAGATCAAGACTACAGGGACCGGTTGTACGAAGCCTATTAAACGAAGGCCGGATAGCGCTATCGACCGGATAGTGATTTTTTCAAGCTTTGTTAAATCAGTCGTTGATTGGTATAACTCGTATTAAAGTTTAGTGTTTATAAATTAAATGTTTTTCATACTTCTTGTCACTTGTGTGTCGTCTCTATCCGTAGTTTCACAGTTTTTCAAACATTTTATAAAGTTTGAAAAAATCACTACCCGGTGGATAGCCCTATATCTGACCTTCGTACAACGGGCCTCAGGGGCCGGTTGTTCAACGGTGAGTTAGCGCTAACCCTGGGTTAAAATTTAACCTTCTGTTTTAGTTTATGTATTTCTGCACGCCTGTTTATTTCAAAACTTCAGAGAAGTAAACTCCTTAGATCCAGACAAGATATCTGAAAAAATATTTCCAAATTTCCATAGACAAGCTGTGAGGAAGTTTGCTTTGAATTTTAGGTTAACCTGGGGTTTAAGCTAAACCAGTTTTGAACAACTGGCCCCAGAATAATATTCAAGACACTCCAGATCACTCTTCGTGAATATTGCGTGTGTTACTATGGTTACCGAAAATTCACACGCAACATCCACGTAAATACGAAGCGCGCGAAATTTTGGTTTTTGGCTTTTTTGTGAGGCAGTAACTGACAGGAAGGTTTTTTCCGAAAAAAAACAACTTTAAAATTTGTTAAGTTTTTTGAATATACACTGTATCTTTGAACGAAAAATAATTACACTACTATTTGTGGAATATATATATGTTTTGGGCAAAAATAACTTCATTTACTGAGTTTGTCACAACAAAAAAGTTTTCGTGTTTTTAACAGTTTTTTTGTTGTTGTTTCAAATAATTTGGCGGAAAGGTATGACTATATTTTAAAATTATTTATAGTATGCTTCTTAGCTGATGTTAAACAGCCTTTGCTTCATGGTCAAAATCATTCCTGTTCATTATAAAAGATGGAAATTTATTCAATATTAGCTTTAATATGCACTGGGAGTGGAGATGTTGTATTTTATTAATGATTTCCTTTAATATTTTCTTTTATAATTATAGCAAAGATTTAACAAACACAAACGTAAGTTGCTCCAATTTTTTGAATGAGCGAATAAAACCATATTAAAAGAGGCATCCAGGTTGAACATATAGGTATAGCTTGGACTTATAAACTTAGCTATTTCATAACTAATCCCTATATTATAACTATTTCATTTTTAAGTGGAATTACTGGAACTGGACGACCCTGCTATTCTTGGTATGTACATTACAATAAATATGTGGTATAATATCTACTTTTTGGTTTTATATAAAGCAACATTTGTTCTAGCTGGTTGGACCTCACATAAAATTAAATGGACTTACAACTAATAGTAAATTGTGTGAACAAAGGCCAGTTGTCACCAATTGTTTGGCTACAGTTGTACAGAAGTATATTTGTGACCTCGAGGTATATTTTTGTGACCTCGAGGTATATTTTTGTGACCAATATTTCAGTGACCATGCAGAGGTAAAGTTAATTGTGACCAACTGCTTGGCGAAAACCCTCTTGGCCGGCCACAATGAAATATTTTTTCATGTAAACATGTTAAAATTCAATCCAATTACCCAGTGAGTACCATGCATCTAGTTGTAGATTGTCCTCTCCTATAGTACTGTAGCTACATGTAATAAAGTGTATACTGACAATTTCATTTTACAGAGCATCGTTATAACATTCTACGGATTATCAATTTGCAATATCATGCATGTGACACAGTAACCTCATCTTTAACCTTCTAACACAACATCTTTTATTTTAGACGTTCATGTTGGTGATGGTAAGAATTCAGTTATATATTTAAAACACAAATTCTTAAAGCTAGGTAATTCTGTTTGAGAAATAATAAAATCTGATGTACTCAATTGACAAGAAAGGATTAACTTTCAATTATTTTCTCCATGGTAGAGTTGTGAATGTTTTCTACAATAATATAGTAATGATTGATAATTAAGAATATATTATGTACAATATATTACAGATTAAGTATATTACAGATTTCTTATGAATATTTGCAACATTTTTTTTTCTAATTAACTATAGAAAGTGAGGTCGAAGAGGATGAAGGACAAGTCCAGCCATGTAAGTTAACTTTATAAAACAATATGTTCAGTATGGTTCAATCATACTTATAATTATATTATTATTACTTCTACAATAAGGTGCATGATTTTATTTCAGTGAATGAACAACCTCGACAAGAAGATGCAAATGGTATGGTTCTAATGTTGATATACTTACATACCTATATCTGTAATATGTAATTTGGTCTAACTACAGTTAGTACTATTTTTTTCAGTTCAAGAACGACAACAACGTCCACGGCATGGTAATAGTACATTTTTTATAAAATTTAATTATACTGTACCTCTCTTGTGCAATTCAAACTAATCAACATTCTTTCATTACAGTTAATCATGAACGACACCCACAACGTCGTGACTGTATAGTTCTTGAAATAGATTTATACACTAAGTACTGAGGACTGTTATTGAACGCACGCTTAGCACTAGCTCTGGGTCAAACTTTAACACACTGTTTTCGTCTATATATATAGTAGAACTTCACATTTGTTTACTTCAGAACTTTGGAAAATTAAACTTCTTTCGATTCTATTTTTTTTCTAATTTAGAAAATCAAGCAAGGAGAATGAGCAATGGTAAGTACTGTATATTTTGTTAACATCTTATTTTATCAACATCTTAGTGAGTGCACTTCCAGTATGTACTGTAACCTAAATGAATATTCTTGAAAACTGATTGTATTTTCTTTAAATTTAGGACGTTGCTATAAGTGTGGCCTCCGTGGCCATTATGCTGTGGCATGCCGTTCACGTATGTACTTTACTAAAACTACAAATATTATAATAGTCCTGTGATATTACAGTAGTCAAAAATATTGGACCAATTAACTTTACAATAAATTTTAATCATTATTGTATGTTGGAAAATGAATGTTTCTTTGACAACGTTCCTGGAAAATACAAAAAATAAGCACAATTATAATATTATTCTGCATATATAGAACATTAACCCATTAAGCGCCACCGCTCTCCCATTTACGAGTAAAATCGTCTGGCGTTAGACAGAGTAAAATACTAACGTAGGGTGCATCCGGGTGCAATGCGACTCAATGGGTTAAACAATGTAAAAGAGGTGTACAGTTGCACTTGCCGGATGAAGTCAAACTGTGCAAATCCAATTTCCAGCATTGTTTCATTTAAAAATAAATATTTTTTAAATTATATACGACACCATGTTGAAAAATTGCTCGAAGTAGGATCAATTTTGAGTATAGTGAACATATTGAGGGCAACAACAACCCTCGAAAAAGGTCCATAGAAATAACAGCCTTGACTTATTCTTTCAAATAAATACTGTAGGACCCAATAACAGACTAACCCATTGAGTGGCAGCACTCTCCCGATGACAAATAAAATTGTCTGGTATTATACATAATAGAATAACAAAGTTGAGTGCATACTGGTGTATTTCCACTTGACAGGTTAATCTTTTAAGAGGCAATGCACCCTCATTAGCCATACTTTAGTATTTTACTCTGTCTAATGCCAGACGATTTTGCTCTGTCTAACGCCAGATGATTTTACTTGTCAAGTGGAGAGTGCTGCCACTCAATGGGTTAATAATACTACATACTAGAATTTTATATTTTCAAATATAGGCATAGTATGCTGGTTGTGCGGTGAACGGGGACATGCCAGGATCAAGTGCCCCCAAAGGCATAGTTCAAAAGAGGGGAAGGGACGGCCAGTTGTTTTTAACCATTGCAGATTTGATAAATTAACAATGTAATTTTATATTGTTACTATATCAAATCTGCAATTGTTAAAATTGTTTACAGTAATAACGGCTAAATTTGACAGTTAAATTTAGTTTATTTTACAGTTAAATTTATTAAATTGATATATTAGGGCTGTTTATATGGAAAAGCTAGCCCATGCACCATCTCACCAGGTCGATTACTTCTCTGTTTTGCCTTCAAGATTTTCTCAAAAAAATTGATAAAAATATTTGGTTCAGATTAAGTGTAAA